CCCCACTCGTGCTCTCTCTCATTCTCTCTCTCAAATACATAAAATCTTTTAAAAAAATCTCTAGAGTAATTAAAAAATCTATGCATGGAGAGATATTTTTAAAAGCCAATATATAAATTAAAATGAAATTCTGTAAAATAATAATAATAAAAAAAAATCAAAAAGACCAGAAAGGAAAACAGGAGTGAAAAGCAGAGAGACAATTAATGATAAATGGTAGACCTAAATCCAATAATATAAAAAATTGTATTAAACTTAAATGGTCTAATATGGTAATTAAAACACAGAGATCAGCTAAAAAAAAAAAAACTTGATTGTATACTATCTACAAGAAACTATCTGAAACATAATGGAATATATAGGCTAAAAAGTAAAAAGACGGGGAAAAAATATACCATGCAAGCACTAAAATTTTTTTTTAAAAAACCTGGAGTGGCTTTGGTAATTATCAGAGCAGACTTCAGTAAAAGAAAATTTACCTTGTGGTTTATTATTGCATTTCATAGACGAAGTAATAAGAGAATAACTTGCCTAAAGTCACACACCTAGGAACTAACTATTGAAATTTAAGGAGAAACTTTCTAGCAATTAGGACTCTCCAAACTGAAGTAAGCTGTATTAAATTTATGCACATTTTTGACGGCTCTGCTTGTAATTTCAGAACCAGAAAAAAAAGCATTAAGGTCATCTAATGAAATGTCCCTACTTTTACTAACAAAATGAATTCCTAGTTAAAGGGCACAGAGACTACTTATATAGCTAGAGGCATATAGCTGAAACTAGAATCCAAGTCTCCTTCTGAACATTGCCCTTCTCACTATAACCAATGCTCACATTCTACATGATGTCTAAGGTTTATTTTTAATCCCATGAAATATATGTGTTTTCATGAATTGTTTAACACTGTAAGTAAACACAGCTAACTGGGTGAAGTGGCAAAAATGCCTGCCAAATCTGTTAAATTAAAAAAAAAATTTTTAAGCAGCTAAAGGGAACCAAGGTATATAATATTTATTTTATTTTATTTTTTTAAAGATTTTATTTATTTATTTGACAGAGACACAGCGAGAGAGGGAACACAAGCAGGGGGAGCGGGAGAGGGAGAAGCAGGCTTCCCGCTGAGCGGGGAGCCCGATGCGGGGCTCGATCCCAGGACCCTGGGATCATGACCTGAGCTGAAGGCAGACGCTTAACGACTGAGCCACCCAGGCGCCCCGGTATATAATATTTAAATTCTCAATTCTCAAAAACCCTGAATTACATTGGATTACATTAGTTTTGTTTTTAATCACATTTTAGAGAATTTATAATTAGTGGGATCCTCAGATTTTAGCATTAAGTTATGTAGAAGAGAGCACATATTGCAAAGACTCCAAATTTGGCAGATGACATTAAGCATCTTTTGGTTTAAAAAAAAGTCTCCTGAACTGCAGAATAAGCCTGAGAAATGGTTATCAAGTAAGTGGAGGCTATCAATGTAGGCTTATCTAAAAAGTAATCAGAGGGAACCAGAGAGTGAAAATAGACTGCTTTAAACTTAAAAGAATAAGCAATTGGGCTGGCATAAAACTTGTAAATAACAAAATAGAGACCAGAAAACTGTAAAAAATATATTTAATATAGTAAACAAATTAATATTTATAAATATTATATATATATAAATACATACACACACAGTTGACCCTTGAACAACATCGGCTTGAACTATGCAGGTCTACTTTTACACAGATTTTTTTGATTCAGGAAGTACTGTAAATGTTATTTTCTCTTATGATTTTTTAATGATTTTCTTAATTTTCTTCTCTCTAGGTTACTTTATTGTAAGAGTACAGTATACAATACATATGACATACAAAATGTGTATTAATCGACTGCTTATATTATTGGTGAGGCTTCGGGTCAACAGCAGGCCATCAGTAGCTAAGGTTTAGGGGAGTCAAAAGTTATACACAGATTTTCAACTGTTCAGGGGGTCAGTGCCCCTAACCCTCCATGTCTCCACATTGTTCAGGGTCAACCATACATGTAAAAAAATTTTTTACATATATGTATATACACACACAAATAAACAAAGAAACAGACACACATAAGTGCTGACTGGAAAATAACTAAATTCTAAGGCCAGCTACGCTCTTACTACAAGAGTGAGTTATGTAAACTGAATCAAAGGTCATGCTTCCACAAATGGCTTCACCTTATTCCACTCCTCTAATACTATATAAAGTCACCACTTCTACCCAGATTGGGTTACTCAGAACTAACAATACACTCTTTATTCCTATTTATATATATCATCAAAAGTATCTCCAAACTTTCAGGTCAATGCCCAATTTTCACATTCTAATCTCATAAGGCTCTGTATATCTGCTATTCTTTCCTCAAGGCACCATATACCCTTAATATATGAAACCTTTCCTTTGTGCCAAAAAAAAAGTAATTAGATACGTATTTGGTATAAAAATATATTTTCTCCTACTCAAAAGTAGAGAAAATAGTATGATATAGCTCCATGTACCCATCCTACAACAAACCTCAGATTCAACAGTTTTCAAGATTTTCTACTTTTGCTTCATCTACCCTTTATTTCTTTGCTGGAGTACCTTCAACCAAATCTCAGCCATCATCATTTCATGCCACATACTTCAGTGCACAGCTCTAACAAATGGACAGTGAAGAGTAATTTTAATTGAATCAATTCGTAACTATAAAATCTATGAAAACTGACCTAATACCATAACCAATAGGCCATAAAAACTTTTGAAGTGCAGCTGATAGCATCGAGAAAGTGAAAAGACAACCTACAAAGTGGGAGAAAATATTTGCAAATCATCTATGTTAAGGGACTGGGAGTCAGACTTCATAAAGAATTTTTACAATTCAACAAAAAAATTTTTTTAAGCAGCTAAAGGGAACGAAGGTATATAATATTTAAATTCTCAATTCTCAAAAACTCTGAATTACATTGAATTGAATTGAATTGTGGTATATACAAATTGAATTGTGGTATATACAAATGACCCAACTAAAAATGAGCAAAAAGGGGCACGTGGGTGCTCAGTCAGTTAAGTGTCTGACTCTTGGTTTCAGCTCAGGTCATGATCTCAGGGTCATGAAATTGAACCCTGCATCCTAATTTTACCACTGCGCTCAGCATGGAATATGCTTGGGATTCTCTCTCTCTCTCTCCCTCTGCTCCTCCCCCAGCTTGCATGCTCCCTCTCTCTCAAATAAATAAATAAATAAAATATTTTTTTTAAATGAGCAAATGATTTGAATAAACATTTCTCCAAAGAAAATATATAGTCAATAAGCACTTGAAAATATGCTCAACATTATTAATCACTAGGGAAATGCAAATCAAGACTAGAATGAGATACTACTTCATTATGCACTTGGATGGCTACAATTTTTATAAAATCAACAGAAAATAACAATTATTCTTGAGGATATAGAGAAATTGGAACTCTTATGCCTTGCTGGAGAGAATGTAAAATGGGAATAGCTGCCTTTAAAAACTGTTTGGCAGGGGTGCCTGGTTGGCGCAGTCAGTTAAAGCATCTGACTTTTGGTTTCGGCTCAGGTCATGATCTCAGGGTCATGAAATCGAGCCCTGTGTTGGGCCCCACACTCAGTATGGAGTCAGCTTGAGATTCTCTCTCTCCCTCTCTGTCCCTCCCACTCGTGCTGTCTCTCTATCAAATAAATAAATAAAATAAAGTAAAATAAAATAAATAAAAACTGTTTGGCAGTTCCTCAAAAAGTTAAACATAAAGTTACCAAATGAACCAGCAGTTCTACTTCAAGAGAAATACCTTCCACATACTTCCACACAGAATCTATACATGAATGCTTCTAAGCAGTATTAGTTATTAGTAGCCAGAAAGCAGAAACAATGCAAATGTCCATTAACTGATGAATGGACAAAGAAAGTGTGGTATATACAAACAATGGAATTTTAGTTGGCCATAAAGAATGAGGTACTGATGCATGCTACAGTACTGAGGGACCTTGCCAACATAGCTAAATGAAAGAAGCCAGTCACAAAAGACTGTAACATTGTATGATTTCATTTACGTGAAGTATCCAGCATAGGCAAATCCATAGAGACAAAAAACAGATTTGTGGTTGCATAGGGTTGGGGAAAAAATGGAAAGTTACTTCTCTGGGGTGATGAAAATGTTCTTAAGTTGGTTGTGGTGTGGTTGCAAAATTTTATGAATACAGTGATTTGGACACTTTAAATGTATAACATTTTTTATCATTAGGGAACTACAAATCAAATAGGAGTGAACCAACTGTATATCTCAAAGATTTTTTCTTAAAACAAAAACAAAAAACACCGCTGAGACCATTAGAATTTAGTTTTCTGAAACTCTAGAAATCTTTTTGGTTCAGCTAGAGAACATTCAGAGAATACTGGACGCCTGACAGAAGACAAATGGAAGTAATTACAACCCAAGTGTGGAAAGACTAAAATATATTAAAATCTGAAGGGCTGCCATTTGCGTTATGTGTCACGTGATGTGCCATCCTAATTTTACCACTGACTGAGCTGTATTAGAGTCACAGGACCAGAAAATGTCAGTGCTCTGATTTCCCCTGAGGTCTTTCCTCTAGCTTCAGCTTGGCTGCGGAAAGTAAGGAGTTGTGGGCAAAAAAGGCAATGGGTGAGAGAATCCAGTGCTGCAAGTGTTTCCTGAATGAACCCCGGTAGGGAGGAAGAGGGAGGCAGAAAACTTTCAAGTTATCACTTTTGTACCCTTGTGAAGAAACACTCCTATTTATGGAGAAATGATTCTATGTCATTTTACGATGTTACTAAAATCAAAAAGAGAAAATATATCCAACTTTGGAAAATCGTACCCCACACCAGTGACTTCTTTCAAACTCGGGGCTTCATCCTCCGCCTTCCCTGACGTGGAGTTCTTCGGAACTACCCGTTTTCTGACTATCTTTCAAAAGAGCAATTCGCGCGACACTTGGACGGCGAACACCAGCCAGGAGACTGCGCGCTGGGGAAACTCGAGCCGCAGCCTCTGCGCGTGCGCACCGCTTCTCTTTCCGCCTCCGCTTGGAACCCTCAGCTCGGAGGTCGGTGGGTCGTGGGAGGCGGCTTCTTTTTGTACAGTGTGTCGTTTGTTGAGTCGGGTTTCCAGAGTTTCCACGCCACCTGTGAAGGTCCGCCGCGGTGGCCCACGGCTCCGCGCCTCCGCGGTTAGCCGTCGCCATGACAGCGACCGCTGGGGGCCCTGGTAAGCGCGGATCCCGCGTCTGTGGGTCCCTGAAGGGCTGCACACGATTGGCTCGCAGCCCTGCACTTTCTCTGGCCTGCGGCCTATAGTTGGAGCGCTTTGAGAGACTCCCCTGGCAGCACCACTCCCAGGTGCTGATGGGGGTCTGCATTCTCAGAGCGCGCACCAAGGACTGGCCTAGAATGTTGGTTCCTCGCGTGGGTGGTAAGAGAAAAGCCAGTGAGGCGGCCAAGAATAGCAAGAATATTGGGCCCTTTTTAACAAGGGATTCTTTTTTAGGGTAGTTTTGGGTTCATAGGGTAATTGACCTGGAAGACAGATTCTCCATATACCACTTACCTGAACACATGTAGAGCCTCCCCGTTATCAACAGTTCCTATTCTTGGGCATCTACGTTGACACATCATAATCAAAGTATCCATATTTTACTTTTGGGTTCACTGTTGGTGGTGTACGTTCTTCTGATTTAGACAAGTGTATAATGCCTTGTATCCCTCATTATGGTATCATACAAAATAGTTCCACTGACCCCCAAATCCTCTGTGCTCCACTTATTCACGCCCACCTCCTACAACCACTGATCATTGTTTTGTCTTTTCCAGAATGTCATGTAGTTGGAATCATACAGTATGTAGCCTTTTCAAATTGACTTCTTTCACTTAATAGTATGCATTTAAGGTTCTTCCATGACTTGAGAGCTCATTTCTTTTTAGCACTGAGTAATACTCCTGGTCAGTTGTCTGGATGTAGCAATGTTTATTTATCTATTTATCTATTCACCCATTGAACGACATCTTGGTTGCTTCTAATTTTTGGCAGTTAAGAATAAAGCCGATGTAAACATCTATGTGCAGGTTTTTGTATGGACTTAAGTTTTCAAGTCCATACAAAATATCGGGTAAATATCAAGGAGCACAATTGTTGGATTGTATGGTAAGAGTATGTTTAGTTTTATAAGAAACTGCCTAACTTTTAAAGTGGCTGTACCATTTTGCATTCCCACCAACAGTGAATGAAAGTTCCTCTTGCTCCACTCTCACCAGCGTTTGGTGTTGTCAGTGTTCCAGATTTTGGCCATTCTAATAGGTGGGTTGTTGTACCTCATTATTCTTTTGTGTTTCTCTGATGACATATTATGTGGAGCACTTTTTCAAATGCTTGACATTTCTTTATATTTGGTGATAAAGTCATTGGTCCATTTTTAAAGTAAAGTTTATTTTCTTATTGTTTGAGTTTTAAGTATTAATATTTTGGATAACAGTCCAATATCAGATGTGCCTTTTGCAAATATTTTCTGCCAGTCTTTGGCTTGTCTTCTCATTTTCTTGATAGTGACTTTTGTAGAGCAAAAGTTTTTTCATTTTAATGAGGTCTAGCTTACCTATTGTGTCTTTTATGGATGGTGCCTTTGGTGTTGTATCTAAAAAGTCATCACCATACCCAAGGTCATCTAGGTTTTCTCCTATATTATCTTATAGGAGTTTTATAGTTTTGCATTTAATTTTTGTGAAGGATGTAAGGTCTGTTTCTAGATTCATTGTTTCCATGCGGATGTCCAGTTGTTCAGCATCATTGTTACAAAGATTATCTTTACTCCATTGTATTGCCTTTGTTCCTTTGTCAAAGATAAGTTGACTCTGTATTTACAGGGTGTTTACTTCAGGGCTGTCTGTTCTATTCCATTGATCTATGTGTCTGTTTTTTTCACCAATACTGCGCTGACTTAATTACTGTAGCTTTATAGTAAGTCTTGATGTTGGGTAGTGTCACTTCTTTGTTATTCTCCCTCAGGATTGTGTTGGCTATTCTGGTTTTTAGGCCCTCCATATAAACTTTTGAATCAGTTTGTCAATATCTATAAAATAACTTAGTGGGATTTCGATTGTGATTGCTTGAATCTGTACATCAAGTTGGAAGAACTGACATCTTGACAATATTGAGTCTTTCTATCCATGAACATGGAATATCTCCATTTAGTTCTTTGATTTCATTTATCAGAGTTTTGTGGTTTTCTTTTTATAGGTCTTAGACATATTTTGTTAGGTTTATACCTAAGTATTTTTGGCTTTTTGGGTGCTAATGTAAATGGTATAGTGTTTTTCATTTCAAATTCCACTTGTTTTTTTGCTGGTAAGTAGAAAAACAATTGACTTTTATATATTAACCTTGTATCCTTCAATCTTGCAACAATCACTTATTAATTCTGGGAGTTTTTGTGTAGATTCTTTCAGATTCTTTGCATATATAATCATGTCATCTGTGAACAAAGACTGTTTTATATCTTCTTCCCCAATCTGTATACTTTTTATTTACTTTTATTGTCTTGGTGCATAACTAGTACTTCTAGTATGATGTTGAAAAGGAGTGGGTGAGGGGGTAGACTGTTACATCTTGAGGTCCTGGTTGAAAGTGACATTTACCTGATCTGTAATTTCATTTGATCAAATGGGGAGTAGTTTTGGTCAGTCCGATTTCTCTTGGAATTGGGTGAGAGTGAGAAATGAAGACAAAGGGATGTGGTCAAGAATTATTCCAGCTTTTTGTTATACAATTTTCAGAAGCTGGTAATTAGTGTGTCCCTGTCCCTTCACCCCAGAGTTAGAGGTGTTTTAAACCAGGCATTCTACTCCAGAAGGTTACATTATCTTTTTTTTTTAAAGATTTATTTATTTATTTGAGAGATATCAAGGGGGCTGGAGAGGGAGAGGGAGAGAATCTTAAGCAGATTCTCTGCTGAGCAAGGGGCTGGATGCGGGGCTCGATCCCAGGACCCTGAGATCATGACCTGAGCTGAAATCAAGAGGCAGATGTTTTACTGAGCTACCCAGGGGCCCTAACTGACTGAGCCACCCAGGGGCCCCCAGAGGGTTACAGTATCTTTTACATAAACCTAAGTAGTCACATTAGACAGCTTTGGTGACGTATTCTTTTTTCAGCCTAAGTTTTTTCCTGATTGTAAATATAATACATGCTCATTATAGAACATTTGTAAAATACATTGAAGTAGGAAAAAAAGTCCACACAATGCCAATAATAACTTTTTGATATATTTTCTAATGTGACTGGTAAAATAAAATGGAATAACTTATGTCAAGGGGTTTTAAAATGGAGCCAGAAGGCCATTAAGGAGGAGGGCCTTATGCACATTCTCATCACGTAGAACCCTGAACTTTTGAACTGGGCTAAACTGCAAATATTCCAAGGACTCTGCATGAATACCTGCAACTTACTGCAGTAACAGACTTTTCTTAGTGATAGCCTTAGCAACCAATTATGTTTAGCTAAGATTAATTTTCTGCCATCAAGACCAATTAAAATTTTTTGTAAACAATATATAGAAGCTTTTTTTTTTTTTTTGTCTTTAAAAACCCCTGGCTTTGAGTTTTTTAAAAAACTCCCCAAATTGCAATTTTCACACCCCAACTAAATGCTTTTATTTCAGCTCTGCCTCTTCTCTTGATTGACACTAACAGTCCTGACTTTTAAGAACATGGTATACACGCCACCATATACTATGTATCTCTTTTTTGGTTTTCTCCAACTTTTTTTAATATACAAACTACTTTTTTAGAGCATTAGTTTTTAGTTGCTAGAACAGCACAAACTTATTATCCTATAGTTCTGTAGGTCAGAAGTCTGAAATGGTCTCACCTAAAATCAAAGTGGCAGCATGACTGCATTCCTTCTGGAAGCTCTAGGAGAGATCAGTGTTTTTGCCTTTACCATCCTCTGGAGACTGCTTGAGTTCCTTGGCTCATGGTCTCTTCCTCCATTTCAGAGGCAGCAATGGCTGGTTCAGTCTTTTTCACATTGTATCACTCTGACACAGACTCTCCTGCCTCTCTCTTTCACTTATAAGGATCTTGTGATTCAGTGGGCCCACCTGGGTAATCCCAGCTCATCTCCCCACCTCAAAGTCATCTGAGTAGCAACCATAATTCTGTTTGTCACCTTAATTACCCTTGCTATATAATATAACATATTCACAGTTTACAGGAATTAGGATGTGGACATCTTTGGGTGGGGGTCATTATTCTTCCTGTCACAGTACCCATACAAATTGTTCTCCATTGTGCTTTTTTCCCAATTAACATATCTTTAAGATTGTATCAATATATACAGATTTGCCTCATTCTTTTTAATGGCTGCATAATGTTCCTTTGCATGGATATACCATAATTTATTTAATGAATCCACTGTTGATGGATATTTAGGTTATTTTCACTCTTGCTATTACAAACAATGTGATAGCAAATATCTTTGCATCAAATGTGTCATTTCCCACATATAAGCGTATCTGTCTATGGGATAAGTCTATGAAAGTGGAATTTCTGGGTCAAAGGGTAAATGTGTTTTTTTAACTTTTTCTTTTAAAAAAATCTTTATATACACATTTAATGCAATCCCTATCAAAATACCATCAACTTTTTTCAAGGGGATGGAACAAAAAATCCTAAAATTTGTATGGAACCAGAAAAGACCCTGAATAGCCAGAGGAATGTTGAAAAAGAAAAGCAAACCTGGTGGCATCACAATTCCAGACTTCAAGCTGTATTACAAAGCTATAATCATCGAGACAGAATGGTACTGGCATAAAAACAAACACATAGATCAATGGAACAGAACAGAGAGCCCAGAAATGGACCCTCAACTCTATTGTCAACTAATCTTCGACAAAGCAGGAAAGAATGTCCAATGGAAAAAAGACAGTCTCTTCAACAAATGGTGTTGGGAAAATTGGACAGCCACATGCAGAAGAATGAAACTGGATCATTTCCTTACACCACACACAAAAATAGACTGAAAATGGATGAAGGACCTAGATGTGAGACAGGAGTTCATCAAAATCCTAGAGGAGAACACAGGCAGCAACCTCTTCAACCTCAGCTGCAGCAACTTCTTCCTAGAAACATCGCCAAAGGCAAGGGAAGCAAGAACAAAAATGAACTATAGGGACTTCATCAAGATAAAAAGCTTTTGCACAGCAAAGGAAACAGTCAACAAAACCAAAAGACAACCGACATAATGGGAGAAGATATTTGCAAATGACATATCGGATAAAGGGCTAGTATCCAAAATCTATAAAGAACTTATCAAACTCAACACCCAAAGAACAAATAACCCAATCAAGAAATGGGCAGAAGACATGAACAGACACTTTTCCAAAGAAGACATCCAAATGGCCAACAGACACATGAAAAAGTGCTCAACATCGCTCAGCATCAGGGAAATCCAAATCAAAACCTCAGTGAGATACCACCTCACACCAGTCAGAATGGCTAAAATTAACAAGTCAGGAAACGACAGGTGTTGGCGAGGATGCAGAGAAGGGGGAACCCTCCTACACTGTTGGTGGGAATGCAAGCTGGTACAGCCACTCTGGAAAACAGTATGGAGGTTCCTCAAAAAGTTGAAAATAGAGCTACCCTACAAGCCGCAATTGCACTACTGGGTATTTACCCCAAAGATACAAATGTAGTGATCCAAAGGGGTACGTGCACCCTGATGTTTATAGCAGCAATGTCCACAATAGCCAAACTATGGAAAGAGCCAAGATGTCCATCAACAGATGAATGGATAAAGAAGATGTGGTGTGTGTGTGTGTATATATATATATATATATAATGAAATATTATGCAACCATCAAAAAAACCTGAAATCTTGCCATTTGCAATGACGTGGATGGAACTAGAGGGTATTATGCTAAGCGAAATAAGTCAATCAGAGAAAGACATGTATCATATGATCTCACTGATACGAGGAATTCTTAATCTCAGGAAACAAACAGAGTTGCTGGAGTGGTGGGGGGTGGGAAGGATAGGGTGGCTGGGTGATAGACATTGGGGAGGGTATGTGCTATGGTGAGCCCTGTGAATTGTGTAAGACTGATGAATCACAGACCTGTACCTCTGAAACAAATAATACATTATATGTTAAAAAAAAAAAAAGAAGATAGTAGGAAGGGAAAAATGAAGGGGGGAATCAGGGGGAGACGAACCATGAGAGACTATGGACTCTGAGAAACAAACTGAGGGTTCTAGAGGGGAGAGGGGTAGGGGGATGGTTTGGCCTGGTGATGGGTATTAAGGGGGGCACGTACTGAATGGAGCACTGGGTGTTATACACAAACAAGGAATCGTGGAACGGTACATTAAAAACTAATGATGTAATGTATGGTGATTAACATAATAAAACTAAATTAAAATCTTCACTGAGATATAATTTCCATACCATACAATTCACTTATTTAAAGCATATATAAGGGACGCCTGGGTGGCTTGGTTGTTAAGCATCTGACTTCAGCTCAGGTCATGATCTCAGGGTCCTGGGATAGGGCCCACATCGGGCTCCCTGCTCAGCCGGAAGCCTGTTTCTCCCTCTCTCACTCCCCCTACGTGTGTTCCCTCTCTCACTGTCTCTCTCTCTGTCAAATAAATACATAAAATCTTAAAAAAAAAAAAAGCAGATATAATATAGTGGTTTTTAGTTTATCAGAGTTGTGTAACCATCACCACAATCAATTTTAAAACATTTCCATCACCTCAAAAAGACGTAAAAAAATAAGGGGAGGACACATCTTCTATAAACCTAAAACTACTTCCCCAAAAGTCCTAATTAAAAAATTACAACTAATTTTGACTTTCTCTTTGTCCTATTTTCAGTTATAGCCTAGTTAAAATGGTAATAATACACTAGATCATAGGTAATTGGAGCCTTCTTAAATTCCAAATACATACACTGTTGTGGGTAAGTGTAAGGTCAGTTTCACCCATTAATAGGGCAAGGAGAACTTTTTACTTCTAATGTTTTTAATTGCTGGAATTATGGTATTTAATTGTTAATTTGTAAGTTGCCCTTATAAAAATTGTGAATGCAGTGTGTCTAGTGGTAAGGTGCCACAGACATATCCAATATGCACAATTAACTTCTAGTTTTTTTGTAATGGTAATCATATTACCATTTCTGTGAGACTTTTGGTATATCTCAAAAACATTTTTTAACAGCCGTATCAGTCACATATTTTATCATGAAGATGTACTATGTTTTAATTATTTTCCCATTGTAGGACATTTCTGGTTTAGCCTATAATTTGCCTTCTAAAAATGCCTAACAAATATTTTAAAAATTGCTATGTATTTTCATCTGAGTCTGAATAGTCTGTGACTGTTGCGTATGCTAAATAGAGCCATATGTTTTGGGCTATAATGGATGCTGCAGCTAACTCTCACCTTTATTCTGTAGCCCAATATACAGAGTGGTTGCTAAGTTCCATGCATATTAGTTAGAAGTTCTCTTTATATGTCCCTCCATTCTCTAATCAAAATTTATTTTTTTGCAATGTCTTATTGGCAGTTTCTGCTGGCCTTTTGTAGGTTTTTAACAGTTATTAGGCAGAGTTAATAAATAAATAATTAATAGAAGACATAATCTCATGCATAAGGAATTTACAGCCAATTGGTAGGCGCTAAAATGTTTAAATCAATAAACAAGAATTAGGTAGATAACTAGTTTTCTCGTTATATTGGGATATGACATAGTGTGGAGTAGACTTGGATTCAAGTATTTTAGTCTTGATTAACTCACATATTTTAAGGCTTAATTAAGAGAAAATCTGGTGAGCCAAAAAGTAGTTGATAGATATGGGAATTATCTGTATTTGTACATGCTAGATAAATCTATAATTCCTAATTCAGGAGTTTGGTCACTCATATAAATGTTGAGATTCATAATCCGAAGGTGAATACACTTAAAAGATTCTAAATTAACATAAATATAGAATGGGGTCTCAGGTGGATAAAACAATTAAGTTGCACAAAATTTAAGAAGTTTTAATAGAGCGTTTAATATACTTCACATACATTTTACTTATTTATAGTCCAGGATTAGAGACAATATCATGTGAAAATTCTTGCTTTAAAATATCTGCTTCGGGCACCTGGGTGGCTCAGTTGGTTAAGCGACTGCCTTCGGCTCAGGTCATGATCCCAGGGTCCTAGGATCAAGTCCCGCATCAGGCTCCCTGCTCGGCAGGGAGTCTGCTTCTCCCTCTCCCACTCCCCGTTTGTGTTCCCTCTCTCGCTGTGCTTTCTCTGTCAAATAAATAAATAAAATCTTAAAAAATAAATAAATAAAATAAAAAATAAATAAGTAAAATAAAATATCTGCTTCTTCCCATTTCTTTTTCTTCCTCCATACTTCCTCATGCTTCTGAGTTTCAGATAGACTATCCTATATGCTTACTAATTATTACTTATATCATATATAACATGCTTGTATATATAATATATACCTGCACATCATAATACTTGTTCTCAATTTTTAAGACCTTATATTATTCCCAGTTTACTTTATGTTCTCCCCCAAAGTATGTTCTGCCCATTCTTATTAAAAAATGTTTGGGGGCGCCTGGGTGGCTCAGTCATTAAACGTCTGCCTTCGGCTCAGGTCATGATCCCAGGGTCCTGGGATCGGGCCCCGCATCAGGCTCCCTGCTCAGCGGGAAGCCTGCTTCTCCCTCTCCCACTCCCCCTGCTTGTGTTCCCTCTCTCGCTGTGTCTCTCTCTGTCAAATAAATAAATAAAATCTTAAAAAAAAAATGTTTGCATCATAAAAAACAATCCATTCATTTTGATATACATGTTGTTTTAGGATCTTGGAGTGAAAATATACTAGAATATTTTCTGAGAAATAACCTGATCACAACAGAAGATGGCACTGAGATCGTCTGGTATCATGCAGCTAACCACAAGGCACAACTGAATGAGGCACTGAAAAGTAAGTCAATACAGTTTCTTGTATTTACACTGGATAATAGATTAATTCAGGGGCGCCTGGGTGGCTCAGATGGTTAAGCGTCTGCCTTCGGCTCAGGTGATGATCCCACGGTCCTGGGATCGAGTCCCACATTGGGCTCCCTGCTCCTTGGGAGCCTGCTTCTCCCTCTGCCTCTCTCTCTCTCTCTCATGAATAAATAAATAAAGTCTTAAAAAAATAGATTAATTCAGCTCTTTTTTTGATATCTGGGCGTATTTGTAGGTATCAAAGACTTAGATGATCGAAGTGTAAATTCTAGGTTGAAATAAACATTTTTATAAAAGATCTCATTTTGTTTACAAAATGAACAAATTTCCATAATGGAAGAATTTTCTTATTTTCCAGAAGTGATTTACCTTTTCTGTGTCTATTTGAAACTCTCAATGTATTATTACACTTGCTTATATACTGTAGTGATTTGAGTAAATTTTTAAGATCAGTGTTGTATGTCTTACATATTTTTGTGTCTTTCATAGTGAACTAAGGAGAAGTTCAATAAATATTTGTTGATGGATGGATGAAGCCATTGTATACTAACTTATAATTAATTGCCTTGGGCAGTATTTATGCTTAGGCTAGAAACCAAGACTTTGGTTTACCAACTTAATCTATAATTTTATATATATATATATCTCACACACACACACACACGCACACACAAACATATATATCCCTTCATTATAGATGAACACTATAGCAGTTTTTTTAGCCTTTTCCTATGAAGTACCCGTGTTGGCTGCAGCGGCACAGGAGACTAAAAGCATATTACTAGAGAGGTCTGGGGCATAGCTCAAAATGACCTGGTACAATGAGGAAAACTTGTCAGTCCCAAGTTTTATTGTAAAAAATCTATGCATCTTTTGCATCCTACTCAATTATGTATCTGGATAATGTATCTGAATATATATTTCTTTTACTGTAAAGATATCTTTAATTTTATTTATTTATTTTAAAGATTTCATTTATTTCTTTGACAGAGAGAGATAGCGAGAGCAGGAACACAAGCAGGGGGAGTGGGAGAGGGAGAAGCAGGCTTCCCGCCGAGCAGGGAGCCCGACGTGGGACTCGATCCCAGGACCCTGGGATCATGACCTGAGCCGAAGGCAGACGTTTAATGACTGAGCCACCCAGGCGCCCAAGATATTTTTTAATTGTTATTCTTTCTCCTCAAAAGGAGGAACTTTGGTTTAATATTGAATCCTTGATACCTAAAACAGTGCCTAACACATAATAACCACACAGTGATTGTGTAATAAATGAATTTTAGCAAAAGCAACACTCAGGAAAAAGTTGGTTAGTGGGTGACAGGAGCTGGCCAGAGTGGAGAATAGGGAGTAAATGCTAATGGGTACAGGGTTTCTTTTTGGGATAATGAAATTTTTCTGGAATTAGGTACTGGTGGTTGTTGCACAGCCTTCTGAATATTCTAAAAAACCACTAAATTGGAGCACCTGGGTGGCTCAGTCAGTTAAGTTTCTACCTTTGGCTCAGGTCATGATCCCAGGGTCCTGGATGGAGCCCCACATTGAGCTCCCTGCTCAGCGGGGAGCCTGCTTCTCCCTCTCCTACTCCCCCTGCTTGTGTATGGGCTCCTTGCTCAGTGGGGAGACTGCTTCTCCCTCTCCCTCTGCCTGCTACTCCCCCTGCTTGTGCTCTCTCTCTCTGTCAAATAAATAAATTTTTAAAAATCTAAAAAAATAAAATAAAAAGAACCATGAATGGTATACTTTAAAAGTGTGAATTTTATGGTCTGTGAATTATATGTTAAGTTTTTAAAAGATTTTATTCATTTATTTGAGAGACAGAGAGAGTGAGCGAGAGAGAGAACATGAGCAGGGGAGGGGCAGAGGGAGAAGCAGACTCCCTGCTGAGCAGGGAGCCCACAGGACTCTATCCCAGGACCCCGGGATAATGACCCCAACTGAAGGCAGACGCCCAACCAACTGAGCCACCCAGGTACCCCATGTTAATTTTTAAAAATGGAAAAAAAGAAGAAATAAAAGTACTACTTACAGACAGTATGGTTGTCTATATAGAAAATCAAAAAGTTGCTGCAAATAAATGATTGCAATTCATGGGTAAATTTAGAAAATCTCAGGATACAAAGTCAAACAGAAAATAGATTTTATTTCTATGTAACAACAACTAAAAATTTGGAAAAAAATCGTGAAAAATTTACAATTTATAATAGTATATGCTGAAATCTTATACTAGAAATAATCTAATTAAATGTGGATACTTCACTTTTAACCTTGTTTTCTTTTTCTTTTTTAAAAATTTTTATTTTTTAAATTTTTTTATTTAATTTAAATTCAGTTAATTAACATATAATGTATTATTTGTTTCAAGGGTACAGATCTGTGATTCATCAGTCTTATATAATACCCAGTGCTCATTACAACATATACCCTCCCTAATGTCCATCCCCTGGCTACCCCATCCCCCACCCCCTTCCCCTCCAGAAACCCTCAGTTTGTTTCTTAAGATTGAGAATCTCTTATGGTTTATCTCCCTCTCTGGTTTCATCTTGTTTGATTTTTTTCCCTCTCTTCCGCTATGATCCTCTACCTTGTTCCTTAAATTCCACATATGAGTGAAACCATATGATAATTGTCTTTCTCTGATTGACTTATTTCACTTAGCATAATTCCCTCTAGTTCCATCCATTCACCTTGTTTTTAAAATTGCTAATGGAAAGTCATTTCCAATTGCTGACAGTCTGATGTTGATCTGGGAAGTTTTCATAGGTTATTTAGTCTTCAGATAATGTCCTTTTAACATTCTGTTTGGCAAAACCATAGCCCCAGATTTTACAGTTTAGGAATGCTCTTCACAAATCCCTTTTTTCAGCCATGGTTAGTTTTGCGATTTCTTTCTAGTCTAAAGGGAAAAGAGAGAGGATCCTAGAGAGATGAAGGCTGTATTTCAGTGGTTTATCTCATTTTTCCCAGAATATTTAAACTTAGTATAACTATTATTAATAGAGCTGTTTCAGTTTGGCTAACACGTAAAACTGGATTTTCAACAATGTCTATGATTTTAAAAAACAGAGTACAGGAGGAACAATGTAAAAGTACCACTTGGTATTGCACTGTCAACCCATCCAGATCTCAGAATAGTCAAAATTGTTACAGAAGTTATTACATTAAACCTAATTTTATGTTACAGTATTTCACCATTTAGATTTTATTTATTTATTTATTTATTTATTTATTTATTTATTTATTATAGCATTTAGATTATAAACCCATTCATATTAAAAAGTATGCTGGTAAGAAAAATAGAAAACATTAAGTCTTTTTGAGAATAAAAAATGTATTTAAAAAAGCTTTTGTAACATCTTCAGGAAAAGTGTGACTATAAGCAATAAATATCTACGGTTTCTAATTTGAGGAGTGAGAAGATAAAAGTACTATTTTTATTCTCAGAAACTTCAACAAACACTTATTAATCTTTCCTTTGTATATTCACTTTGCTGTGTACTGGGAAGAAATTAAATATTTTTAATTTAATTTAATTTAATTTAATTTAATTTAATTTAATTTTTTTATTATGTTATGTTAGTCACCATACAGTACATCATTAGTTTTTGATGTAGTGATCAACGATTCATTGTTTTCGTATAACACCCAGTTGCTCCATGCAGTATGTGCCCTCCTTAATAGCTACCACCGGGCTAACCCATCCCCTCCACCCGCCTCCCCTCTAAAACTCTCAGTTTGTTTCTCAGAGTCCGTAGTCTCTCATGTTTTATCTCTCCCTCCGATTCCCCCCCTTTGTTTTTCCCTTCCTTCTCCTAATGTCTTCCATGCTATTCCTTCTGTTCCACAAATAAGTGAAACCATATGATAATTGACTTTCTCTGCTTGACTTATTTCACTTAGCATAATCTCCTCCAGTCCCATCCATGTTGATGTAAAAGTTGGGTATTCATCCTTTCTGATGGCTGAGTAATATTCCATCGTATATATGGACCACATCTTCTTTATCCATTCATCTGTTGAAGGGCATCTCGGCTCTTTCCACAGTTTGGCTATTGCGGACATTGCTGCTATGAACACTGGGGTGCATGTGGCTCTTCTTTTCACTACATCTGTGTCTTTGGGGTAAATACCCAGTAGTGCAATTGCTGGGTCATAGGATAGTTCTATTTTTAATTTTTTGAGGCACTTCCACACTGTTTTCCAAATTGGCTGTACCAGCTTGCATTCCCACCAACAGTGTAAGAGGGTTCCCCTTTCTCCACAACCTCTCCAACATTTGTTGTTTCTTGCCTTGTCAATTTTTGTGATTCTAACTGGTGTAAGGTGGTATCTCAATGTGGTTTTGATTTGAATTTCCCTAATGGCTAATAATGTTGAACATTTTTTCATGTGTCTGTTAGCCATTTGTATGTCTTCTTTGGAGAAGTGTCTGTTTTGATTTGATTATTTGTTTTTTGGGTGTTGAGTTTGAGAAATTCTTTATAGATCTTGGATACCAGCCCTTTATCTGTAGTGTCATTTGCAAATATCTTCTCCCATCCTGTGGGTTGCTTCTTTGTTTTGTTCACTGTTTCCTTTGCTGTGCAGAAGCTTTTTATCTTGATGAAGTCCCAAAAGTTCATTTTTGCTTTTGTTTCACTAGCCTTTGGAGATGAATCTTGAAAGAAGTTGCTGTGGCCGATGTCAAAGGGGTTACTGCCTATGTACTGCCTCTAGGATTTTAATGGATTCCTGTCTCGCATTGAGGTCTTTCATCCATTTTGAGTTGATCTTTGTGTATGGTGTTAGAGAATGGTCGAGTTTCATTCTTCTGTATATAGCTGTCCAATTTTCCCAGCACCATTTACCCATTTATTGAAGAGACTGTCTTTTTTCCACTGAATATTTTTTCCTCCTTTGTTGAAGACCATAGAATTGAGGGTCCATATCTGGGCTCTCTACTCTGTTCCATTGGTCTATATGTCTGTTTTTGTGCAG